CTGGACTGACCCTGGATCAATACAGGTTTAACGACGTCCTGTGGAAACTTTGCCAAAATGGTCTCGCACCATATTGGGTCACAGGTTTTTCGCACGTCGTAACCCGCCGATATCATTTGGTGGACAAGCACTTGGATCTGGTCAAAGGCTGTCGAGCAACTCTCGGCAGAATCGCTTTGCTGGTCTCATATTAACTATTTTTCAAGACTCATTGAGCCCTATTTACGGGCTGATTAATATAATTATTTTTAAGGGTTTCTATTAGCCATTCGTAGTTCTCTGGTACTAGTCTTATTCCTTTTATGGAATTTTGGGCTCTGCCCATTAGACTTTCTTTGAGGAGTAAAATTTTCTCCATTGTGTCCAGTTCACTACTGTTGTGGACTAGCGTTTCGAAGACTGCCCAGTATTCGCATAAAGCCGAGCTCGTCCGCATCGGCTGTGATTGTATGGTAATTAGAGTCCTCTTCTATTTGCTCGATTTCGAGCATGATATCTTTCCTTTCGGACTTATTTTTGCAGGCTCTATATTCCTCAATTATATCTTCATAACGCTTTTGCAATTTCTCGCTGCCCTCTTTTTATCTGCCTTATGCTGCTTTGCAAAAGGGCGATGGTGGACCTACATTTTTCGTAGGTCTCCTCATCAATATTCAGAAAGTCCACCTTAGTGGTGTATTCCCTATAGCGCGCTACCGAATTTTTAAAGGTATTGGCGCTTGCGATGATAGGTTTCTGTTGAAATGAGCGCCATTCTTTTTTTTGGTTCAAAAGTGCTTGAAATACTCGAAAGTTGGAAGATTGTTATATAGAATCACGTTCGATTCTATTGTATTTGTTTATTTGAGTGCTTACTATAGAACCACGTTCGGCTCTATTTGTTAAGCTTTTGCCGATGAGAGACCATCTAATCTCCTCAGGGAACCAGGAAGTCATTGGAATAATCAAAACTAGGAAACCCCCCCCCCCACCCAACGACATAAGGACTGACTGTTCGTCTGCTCGAAAAACTGTCGCACAGTCGCATCGGGAGCTAATCATTGAACGCCTCTGTGGAGGAGCTGTCAGATCACATACGATGTTGTCGCATCACAAAAGACGAAAGTTAGGACGGAAACCATTTCGAAAACCGATAACAATGAGCTGCTCATTGACGGAACCAAGGTTGAAGGAACCATTGGCACGCCGAGCCACTGCAAGAGAGTAGCTCAGTTTCATCGCACGGATTTATTGGAGAACTTCCCCTGTACTGCAGCCGTTTAATTTCCGAATGTTTCCGAAAGGCGTTGAGGTTAGCAACATCAGAGCACAAAAACACTGCCAGGAGCTTAATAATTTGCTGAAGCGCCTCTACACTTGGCTACCAGGTTCCCTACCAATGGTTCAAGATTGTTCCCAAAGCAGACGTCCATATTGGCACATAGTGGAAAGTCAGCTCCGCGTAGAACGAATGGGCTAGAGCTGAGAGGCAGTAAGATATCAATTACTCTGAGAATCTACATTTCAGCTGCAGGGATAGGTGCCGTTCGTGGAGTCGACCAAGGACTGGAACAATTCAAAGTCGCGTTGCTCTCTGATAGTCTTTCACATGTTTCAAGGATGGAAATAGAAATTTTGTTCACTTATATTGAATGCGCCTGGAGAGGCATTTCAAAAAACATTTTTGACTACAGTATGACTATAGTTGTTCTTAAGACAGAATGGTTGTGAATCCAGAGATCGCATACTGTACCACGTTGACACTAGATCCATTTTCGAAGTTTGTAAGACTGTGAAGGAAAAATGAGGGAAGAACACCAAGAAGTGCATGACCGTAGTTCGAGAAGCTAACTGGAATTAACTCATAACCCCGACTGTGCTGCAACATAGGCCAAAGAACACTTCAGCAGCCGGCAAAACGGTTGGCATGGACCACGTTCGGTCATAATAATAAGGTTGCACGCTCATGCTCTTCTATTGACATTTTTTTTCTGAAAAGGTGATCCGCCTAGTATGCCGAATCAATTGATATACACTCTCGCTGAGGTAGCAAAAAGCGGCCAGCCCAGAAATGCCGGTATCACCTCTTTTTAATGTATAAATACCGCACTCCGACAGCTCCGGTCAGTTTGCCCAGTACATGTGGATGCCTCTCTTCAACGAACGGCTCCGGTTGCTGCTAAAATAACCTTTGACAAAACAGAGAAACTAAGTAACCATTCGCTGCAGCCGTTTGCTGTTAGCCCAAGGACATGCGCGAAAAAGAACACAGCGGAATCATCGAGTTATCAATGTACGGCTTCATCAACGCCAACCCACCGGACAGCTTTAACGTACTCTAAAACGTTCAAAAAATTGCAGGTAGAGGAGCTCACAAGAGACAGACTTCTTCTCAGCGCAACATTTTCCTCCCGTATTAGCAACAGCTTTTTTTGCTCTTCCTCGTAGAGCTTCTCGAGATCTTTGCAAGCACATTTCACCTGAATCAGTCTCATCAGTAACGTTTAGTAAGCACTACGTTACTACAGACAGTAGCCAAAAGCAACAGTAGTGTTTTCTTCCCCTCATTTTACATGGAATCATTTGAGAGTCCGGTCTGTTTCACTGTTGTCCAACATAAAGAGCAGACGACGAAAAGAGAAATATTTCAATACGTAGCCAACTCATGCTTAGCGCGTCATGACCCGCCAAGAGATGTCATGCGATACGTTCTGTGGTCACGTTCAGACTTCGCGAAAAAGGATTGTTATCATGTTACGGTTACGCTCGCAGACGATTGCAGGCCTATTATGAAAGCGTGGGGATTCTTACCGAATCCAACTCCTTTCTGATATCCTTCAGAACCTCGTTGTAACATTATCTTTGATCGATGGAAGGTGGAAGTCTTGCAAACTCCAGAAGATTCGACAAGGCATCAGAATCCCAAGTGATTTTATTGCTCATTCCCTGAATTTGATTTCCTTGTGAATACATATTTGGCAGAAAGTTGCTTAGCCGCCGCGTTGCCTGCCTTGCATGAACACAATGTCTATCATAAATATGGGAGACTTCGAAGTCTCGCTCTTCCAGTGTAAAAGCTTGGGGTGGCCCCGCATTAAAGGCAGTTGGCACGATGGTTTCCTACTTAGCCTAAAATGCTAGTAGGGCGCTGTATAGTGGGGAAATGGCGAAAGAACGGAGTGAAACGGTCAAAATCCTGCGAAGAAAAAGCCTCCGTTCTCAGTGACTTGAAAATCGATTTCGGACGAGTTTCCCGTACGCATCTTGCCAATCACCGCTACCGAAGATACGGCTGCATATGTGTACCCATGTATGCATGCAGCATCACGGCCGCTTCATACCAATCCCTTCGCTTCATAATTTGCTTAGCAAATGAATGAATACGAGCGTCAGGAACGGTCGTCCATTTGTGGGCGGGCGGGTGGCGGGCGTTTGGGACGTAAAGTTGTGGCTTGATAGGGCCCTTATAAGGGCACCTTCCTCGGGGAAACCGCTATGCAGCGCCTGCCCAGGGTCGCGGAATTCTATCCTGCCAGGAGTATTGATCCTAGTCGCCTTGGGGGATTTATCGTGCCAACTGCCTTTAATGATACGCATTGTCAAAACCCAGTGAGAACTGACCAGTCCTTCTATGAGTTGCCTGGTACCAAACAATTCTGATGAGAAAACAGGAGAAGAGAGCTTGAAAAGGGGCAGTTCTCTAACTGAGACAAACTGAACTTTCAACTTTCAGTCCTTGTCCTCAAAAAGAACGGGATGGCAATTGCACAAATGTACCACTTCCGTCACTTGTGAGTACGCGGAACTATTGCTGAAGGATAGTGATACCTGAGTGACGCCTCGACTCCGCTCGCGGTATACTCAAGTGCTGCACATGCGTCGATACCGAAATCCCTCAGGAGACACGTGGACGTGGGGGGACGCAGACAAAGGATGCTCTTGGCTAAGATGGGTGTGTGGCTGTGCGTTGACGTCCGCGCGAGGCCCAGGAACGCCACCGGTCCATCTTTACCCTCGAGTCCCATTCTCGTGCACATTTGAGGGGGGAAGTGGCACGCTACTGCGAACCCATTCACCTCGACCTTGCATCTGGCAATGATCAGGATCCACGGAAGTAGGTGTGCCGTTTATCTCAGATTGACGGTTGTGGTTGCAGGTTACATGCCACCAAGGGTACGTTCTTGAATCTGCATACAGTGGGAGAAACTCTGTGGTTGGAAAGATGAGACATCGATGAACCTTCGCGCTAGTCTTTTTTCACAGAAGGCAGGAAAACTTACATTGTCGCTCGTTGATACATGTGAAAAGGATGACTCTGGTTGGACCACGGTGAGTTCGGCAATCTTCTTTTCGAGCTCTGCGTTCTGCTCCTCTAATAGTTCGATTTCCTCTCGTTGTTGACCATAATTGTACATAAATTGAAAGAGCTTGGGACGAATCTTCAAAAAAGCATAGTACACGCTAACGTTCACTAGGAGAATCATCATAAAAAAGTTACCTTCCGGACTTCTTCGATTAAACTTTTCAGCTGGCCGGTATTCGATGAAGCAGTAGAGTCCTAAAATAAGTCAACAGATCACATTAACTTGATCCCTATTTCTCAACTACGACAGCGCCTTCCTTTTGCAAATACGGTTTATATCACCGTGAACTGCCGGGTCGCAATCAGCGGTTTCCAAATGCAAATCCCATCAGTGGCTGATTCCTTCCTACATCGATCATTGCTTCATGGAGCAAGGCAGCCGTACGCGAGCTCGGGCCGCGCTGCGCTCGCCGCCCCGACAAATTGCAATGTTACAAACTATACTTCTGTTCATTGGACTGGACCAGTTTGCTTCCAAATACCTTCGAATTTTCGACTGCCCTCTGGGCCTTTATTCTTGCCGAAAAGCTTTCTTTTGATTCACTCTTACTCAGAGCCAAGCATATCAGCAAGTGTTATCTCACTTGTTGTAAGATAAAACTTGCTGATATGTTTGGCTCTGAGTAAGAGTAAATAACAAATGAAAACGCTAAACTTTGATCCCGCGTACTCTCGCCTTGAGTACCATCCAGGTGAACAGCAGTTGGACTATCAGCTGCAACTCAGTCGCTTCTAGAAATTACTGCAAGACCTGTGAGATATGGCCGAAAGGTCGAGTATATCTCTGCGATTGTGAAGGTTCCGTATGATTTTCCTGCTACCTTTCAACTGAAGCCCTTCTTCATTTATTATGATGACTGATTGTTTATTGTCTATTTGACTCATTATGATAACTGCTGTTTAGTGCTCCGAAAATAACTGCTGTTCAACGCTCCTAAACTTATGAAAAGAATGCTGAGTTATGGGCAAAAGTCTGGCTTCAGAGATGACTCGAACTCGGGCGAGAGCGCTATCCATACGCCATCAGGGCCGCTCTTATCCTCTGGTGGTGTAACGAATGCCGTTCGCTTTTGCAGTTGCCACAATAAATGAACTTCGTGGAAGCGAGCGCTGCCGCTACCTCGTAGGGGTTGGGAGTGTGATCGTAGTTGTGCAAAGAAACATCACGCAGTCTTTCATTTTTCTTTCTACACTAGAGCTTATGCAGATCTCTAGATGTCGTCACTTCATACAGAGGAAGGTTTTTCGGAGTAACGCTTTTGATGAAATGCACTGAGTTTCCGTAGAACACCTACAGTTCTGCAAAATTGTGAGTATAATCCTAATCTACTATAATCCTAATCTACTATGAACCGCATAGAACTTACTGAATCAGCAACGTATGTTGATTCTTGAGTGTCATCCAAAGTAGACATGCTGAAAAATATTCTCTTCTGTCATCTTAACATGATAATTGGGCGATTCGTCCACATATAGATGATACTACGTTTAAGGCTGTAGTTACAGGTGGCTGCGCTTGAAAACATCTTCGTTACCGCGTAATCAGAACAAGCCGTACGCCTCCTTGCGATGTGGAACCGTGGAATGTGGAAGTTGAGCGAGTTCGGGCTGCAGAGTTATGAGTGTGCCACTTCCTTCATTTGAAAGTACGCGGAAGTGAGTGGAGTGTAGTGAGAGGATACCGTTTTAGTCTCCACCCATCCGCAACGTGCAGCATGTGCGCAGATGCCGGCGTAGAGAACAGCAGCTCCTTGATCAAATGAGACAGGCGTAGACAAGACGCGCAACTGGTTGGCTAAAGCTGGTAGCGCGATGATGCGCTACTTGTACCTTCCAGCCTTATTTCCGCGAACTTTTGAATCCCGCAAAAGTATAAGAACTGTGGACTCGTTCTCCTCGCACATGGAGAATATCAGAATTCTCGATGGGCAGTGTGCAGGGTATGCTCGACTTCCCCTCAACGACTGGTTGTTGCTTGCTGCCATATTTCATTTTCTAAACAACAATGGTGGACAGATGAGGATGTGACCCTTGGCTTAGTTCGATTCGTGTTATCATTTACATGCCTGCTATGTCAATTAAACTTATGCGAAGGTAGTTTAAACTTGAAAGTTGGACAAATTCTTGAGATGCGACAGGATTATAGAGGGCTCTTTGGGCTATGTTGGGTCCCTACTCCAAATTTTTACGTCGCAATTCTAAATGGATGACAAGGGCGTCGCGCGTTCCATGGCGTTCATCATTATCAGCGCCTCTGAGTTTTTTCCTATTTATCACAAGTACAAAAAGTGCATTAAAGTGTCTCCCAAGTGTTTTGATAGGCCATTTTAATTTTGCTGGAGCAAACTTTCAGACCGAAATCCGCGAATGGAGAGTTTTCTCTATGTGGAGCTATATCAAAAATACTATTCATATTGAAAAAAATCTTCCAGTATCTGGAACCTAACCTGTAGGTTTCTAATCTACGTTACATGTGGACGGAAGTGTGTTCACTGAACCGAAAAAAACTCGCGTTTGTCGAAATTTTCCGCGTTATTTCTGGCGTGAAGTCGCCATGCAAGCTTAGTGACGCCTTAGACGCGTTTCGAAAAAACCCTCCCGAAAAACACAGCAGCCTTCGCTTTGTGAAAAAGTTCCACTGAATACGAACCTTCTAACTCCCTCCACTCCTTCGCGGGGTCAAATGCAACCCCCTACTATTGTGATTTCCGCAACAGTACTGTGCTCTGCCCAGAAATCACGGATCCTGCTTACCGTTTGGCAAAAACCGCTTGCGGATGATTTCGTGCTTCTTTCAAGGACTGAAGCTCACAAAAGAACCCCAACAGCTCGTATGGCCGTTCGCAATGAATTGTACACCTCTATACAAAACCTGAGAGGCTGAATTCAAATCTCCTCTTCGAATTCGCGGAGCATATCTATGAACCGGACTATGGAAGTTTTTACCTGCTATCTTTCTATCAGATGTATTTTCACAAGGAGTAATTAGACCACCAAGGCGGCCGAAGACTCACACTGGACATGAAGAGACTCCCTTCCTGAGAATGAAGTTCACATCCTGCGAATTTGAGGATCGGAAAATTCAACGGTTCTCCTGATCGACCTTTTTGAAATCCCTTTTTCTACGTTCTTTCCGATTCTTCCAGCTCCTCGCCCACTCTACGCGTCTTCACTTTCGTAGGGCGTGAACGTGGCTCAATCCTCCTTTCTAGCTCTTTTCAGATGCTGCTACTCTCGGCTCTGTCTTCTCTCTCAAGGCATCGTCTTTATCTCTTATGAGTTCAAACGCACTGCGGCTGAAGTGAAGCCGGTTGTACGTTTTCGGTCAAAGACACTCTGATACTCAAACACCACCCCAAAAGCTTATGGTTACCAGATAAGCGATTTGTTTACAGAAGGTTAATACTCTCCTTACCTTAATAATCTGGATTTTAGTGGGTCATCCAACCATGCAATGAACCACACCTCCCTTATCTCTAATTGTTGTCACAATTAGTATCACCTTCCTTTATTCTGATCTCTCAGATTACAGTATAGGTCAGGCTTCACATAGCACACCAAAGGCGAACTATGCTCCGCCCACAAATGCGCGGGGCGGAACGAGGCCTGATGAGGTTTTACTGCCTTGCTTCTTTATTACATGTATTTCCACAAGGAGTAATTAGACCACCAAGGCGGCCGAAGACCCACACTGGACATGAAGATACTCCCTTCCTGAGAATAAGTTCACATCCTGCGAATTTGAGGATCAAAAAGTTCATCGGTTTTCCTGATCGATGATCCTCTTTGAAATTCCTTTTTCTCTGTCTTTCCGATTCTTCCAGCTCCTCGCCAACTCTACGCGTTCACCGGCACCGAGCAACTTCGTCACAAGACATATGAGAGTAGCATATTTGCAGTGAACAGGGCAAGTGAATGGGTGTATGGGGGTCAAAATTAAAAATCCATAACTCACTATGTTCACTTAATTGTTTATTCATTTATTTACCTCTTACTTCTTCATTTATTTACCTCTTTTATTCTTCAACATCAAAAACCTCCACTCTTCCATTTGAGTTCATTCACTGAGCATCCAATACCGACTTCTCACTCACTGCCTTTGCAGAAGCTTCACAACTGTCCACTTTTTTCTCCGGCGAAACCGGGCGATGCAACTGGTAATCAGTTAAATGCACGGGACCCAATTCACACGCAGAAGGAGGATCGCCAGTAACTGGTGATCCGAATGGCCCTTATTGGAAAATACCCGGGACCACAATGAGCTGACAGTAGCTTATAGCGGATGCAATCAAAAGGAGCCTCGTGCCTCATGAGACGCTTTGTCGCCATTGTCGTCTACGTGTTAAAAAACTCCTTGTAAAAATTACCAGGTCGTTCTAAACGTTTCAAGAAAATTTTGCTTCTTCTAGAAAGTATAGAGAGTGCGCCAATACAAGAAAGTATGTACGTCATATGATGTGAAAAACAGCTTTAGGATTACATTCTTTATTGCTGGTTTTAGTTTCCACTAACTGGAAAATGTACGAGCGCTGCGACTTCTGAAACTTCCTTCTTCATTTCACCTTTCCGACCACTCCACCAGTCGAATGAGGCATTAGGGAATGAGGCACAACCTCCAGTGCCAGACGCACCACCCTCCAACATTTGTTGTAGGAGTTCAATCGCTTTTTGATATAGACGTTTAGCTTTCATTTCCGTACGCCCCACTTTTCTTCTCAATACTGACTCCATTCGAGCTTCCTTGCGGACTACCCGAAAAATAAGCGTGATGAAAAGAACGATGTCCAGTATAACTGCTGATTTTTGTCTCAATGTTGTTAAATGAACCAATCAGAACTTTTTAAAGCGTCCCGGAAATGAGTCTAGCAGAGTTTGCGCGATGAGAATGGCGTATTTCTCTTGTGAAATTGCGAAGAAGCTGCGGCGCAGGTGACAAATCCAAAGTGCGGTAATTCTGTTTGGCCGAGGGTAATCTGTTTTGCAGAAAGGGGGCCTTCGCGCCGTTGCAATTATTACCGCCTTCCCCCATTCTGTTTCTCTTCTAAAGTAAATTGAAACCAGAGCTGTTTGACTGATGAATTTGCCACCACTTCGAGAGGCAAAAAAGTTGTTGCGACATCACGTAGTAAGTCATCGTTTG